CCCCCCACTGACCGTCCACGCTGACCAGGACGCTGCCGGCGCCGCGGCCGTGCCGGTTGGTGGCCGTGCAGGTGTAGAGGCCCCGGTTGGCCGCGGTGGCCCCGGTGACGGTCACCGAGCGGTTGTCGGGGCCCAGGCGCAGGTTGGGGGCGGGGGGCAGTGCCCAGGCGAAGGTGGGCGCCGGGACCCCCTCGGCGCCGCAGTCCAGGCTGAAGGAGCTGCCCCGGGTGACGTTGGCAGAGGGCAGAGCCCGGAGGGTGACGGCGGCGGGACCGTCTGTGCCGGGGGGGACACAGCGGGGTCAGACACAACCAATCACCAAAATCAGCCAAAATCAGCTAAAACCACTCCTCCCTGGGGATTAAAATGAACAAAAAAACCCTTTTTTGCCCCCCAAACGCCCCCAGAGGACTCACACTCGACGGCCACGGTGACGTTGCGGGTGGCAGAGCCGTGGGCGTTGGTGGCCCGGCACTGGTAGGTGCCGGCGTGGGCGCGGGTCACGGTGGGGGGCACCCGGGGGGGGTCCAAGGAGGGGTCCCGGGGGCCCCCCGCCTTGGTCCAGGTGGCACTGGGGGACACTGGGGGGTCCTGGGTGTCCCCCGGTTTGGTCCAGGTCACGTTGGGGGGCACCCAGGGGGGGTCCCGGGTGTCCCCCAGCTCAGTCCGGGTGACATTGGGTGTCACCAAGGGGTGGCCCCACGTGTCCCCCACCCCCTCGGCTGTCACCAGAGGGGGGTCCCAGCTGTCCCCCGGTTCGGTCTGGGTCACGTTGGCTGTCACTGGGGGGTGGTCCCGACTGTCCCCCACTTTGGCACAGGTGACCCGGGGCGGGGGGTTCCCGGTGGCGGCACAGCCGAGTTGGGCTGGGGTCCCCTCCAGCCAGAGCCGCCGCTCCGGACAGCCCGGCTCGGGAATGCTCGGCTCGTCTGGAAGCAGGAGGGACATGGGGGGGGGAACTGGGTGATGGGTGCCCACCTGGCACCCCTGTATCCCACCCGGCACCCCCCTGATCCCTCCTGGCACCCCCTGATCCCACCCAGCACCCCCCAATCCCTCCTGGCACTCCCCTGATCCCTCCCAGCACTCCCTGATCCCACCCACACCTTCCAATCCCAGCCAGCACCCCCTGACCCCTCCTGGCCCCCCCCGATCCCTCCCACCACCTCCTGATCCCTTCCACTCCATCCCATCCCACCCCAATCCCAGCCCCCCCTCCCCGTGCCCCCCCCCGCCCCACTCACACTCCACGGTGACCAGGACACTCCTGGTGGCCACCCCATGCTTGTTGGTGGCCCGGCACAGGTAACGCCCGGCGTCGGCCCTGGACACCACGCGGCCGCCCCGGGGGGCACGGGCGGGACCCCCACGAGGGGCGTCCCGGGTGCCACCTCGGGGGGTGTCCCTGGTGCCGTTGTGGGGGGTGGTGGCCCCGTGGCGGAGGTTGGTGGCCCCGTGGGGGGGGTTGGTGGCCCCGTTGTCACGGTGGCAGCGGGTGCTGGGCGGGGGGTCCCCGTGGGCGCGGCACCAGCTCGGGTCCCGTCGCTGCCCCTCCACCCACACCCGGTGCGAGGGGCACCCCCCCTCCGACAGGGTGGGCTCATCTGGAGGGGGGGACACGGAGGGGACCCCGCTCGGTGCCACGGCTCGGTGGTGTCATCCCCGGTGCCACCACCACGATGTCCCCCATGACATCCCCAGTGCCATCCCTTGTGCCACCACAGTGCCACCACAGTGTCACCACGGTGCCACTACGGTACTAGCCCCAGTGCCACCCCAGTGCCACCATGGTACCACCCCCAGTGCCCCCCCTTGTGCCACCCCCCAGTGCCACCATGGTACCACCCCCAGTGCCATCCCTGGTGCCACCCCCCAGTGCCACCCCAGTGCCACCCCCAATGCCACCCCGTTGCCACCCTGTTGCCACTCACACTCGACTCTGACGGTGACCCTTTGGCTCCTCGTGCCCAGGGCGTTGGTGGCCCTGCACTCGTAGGTGCCGGCGCGGTCGCGGGTGACGGGCTCGGGCCGGGTGGTGCCCACCGGGACCCCCCCGCGGGCACAGACCACGGCTGGGGGGGGGGTTGCCGGTGGCGCGGCACCAAAGAGCCGCCCGTGCCCCCCGGACCCAGGTGCGGTTCCCGGGGCAGGAGTCGGGAGGGAGCTCGGGACCGTCTGGGAACGGGGAGAGTGGGAGTTTGGGGGTTTGGGGGTGCAGGGGGGAGTTTGGGGGGTGTCAGGGGGGGTTTGG